GTTTATGCCCGCAAATGCACCACACGGGACTACATCGGAGTATTCCACATGCAGTGCAGAAGCCATATCGAGAGTAACAATGGTAAAAGAGTTTTTCAGTAACCATGTAATACTTGTCGTCATCCTTGGTAAATCCCTTTATGAGTTTGTTGCGACGATAAAGCCATTTGAAATATCGACTATATTGAATGACATCATTATTGTGCTTGTGTGTTGGAAGTGAGTATATTCTGGCAAACTCACTAACAAGTGTTGGTGTACTTCCAAGTGATAACAGCATTACGGGCTCTTCGTCTCGACTTGACAACCAGCTGCGGTCGTGACGACAGCGTAAGTTGTAGCGACCACAATGAACGGAATGGACGGTGGAAATTTGAGTTGGCTTTATGTCGGTGATTTCTTCGTAAGGAATCCATTCAAGTTCGTAAGGAATTTCAAGTTCGATCAATTCAAAATCCATTCGTCTTAAATAACTATCTTCACTTTCCAAGGAGGATTGAACCAAGTTGTCAAATGCTGGATTATTAACCCCTGGAACTAATGACATCGTTTGAATAATAAGTTTTCACGGAGAGAGTTAATATTATTATTATTATTATACCGATATCCGTGTGTAACGCTTAACGGACCTTTTTCGCCTATTATATTTAGTAGGTATTTTGCAATTTGCCTCTCCGAGTCGATGTAAAATGTAAAATGATTGTCAGATAAGCGATTTTATATTTATTTAGCTAATACTAGTTCTTAAATTCCAAGAGACAAATCGTAGGATCAAAGCATTCGGAATGGTGTGGAGATTCATAAACGCAAGGTTATTCCCACAGTATGGTTTATGGTAACATTAATATAAAAACCTCGAACTGTTAACCCTAACCCCAAAGGATCTTTACTTCTGCGTAAGGGATAAGATGATTTTATACTGTTTTTCCCGAAATAATAGGCAACAATTTTATGTCTACATACTCTGAAGAACCTGTTAAGAGACTAATGGCGTTTCAACAAGACAATGACCTAAAACATACTAGCCGCGCTAAAAACTTTCTTCGGGATAACATGCCTAAAGTTATAAACTGGCTCTTCTAACAGTCTTGACTCAAATCCAACAGAGAATCTCTGTAATGATGTTAGAAGAAATGTAGAGAAGAAAATAAATATTCCATAACTAACCCTACTATTAGTGAAACGCTTGTCATAGAAAGTAATGGTGAACGTATTCGATCAGATGATCTGTTATCACCTAGTACAGTCGATCCCTCTGCTAGATATTACACAATGTTATAAACATTCTCATCGCGTGGAAACCGACAAACAATGTCATCACGAGACTGATGGTTTAATAGATGCACTTTTGCAATCGAGAGCACAAAGAGTCCTGAAGAGATTACCGAGGTTTTAGGCGTATTAAGCGTTGCTCTTGATGGTTTGTAATGCGAGAATGAATCTTGGTGCGTCGTTGAGACTTGTCGAACATACATACAGTGATACGCTTGACTGTCTCTTAAATCTTACCTCCCAGGTCCACGAGGCCCACAAGTGACTCAAGAGTGTTATCTGCAGTTCCACTCCCAAACTTTTTTACCTTTCTCGAGAGTCCGAGCGAATCTGTTATAAACGCGGCCGGACTTGTATTGGAGAAGTTAGAGCCGCTACCTATACTGATACTATTTCTTCAGAATTAAAGGTTACACGATATTTGGTTCGATCTTCTTTTTTTTTTTTACAAGTTGCTTTTTTTTTTTTAAATTGTAAAGATTGATTTGATTTGTAGGATTATTTTCGACTCGGACTGTCGAGTCCATTACCAAAGGTCTGCCTCTCACTCTAGGTCAGATTGAAAAATGTCTCGCAAATGAAGAATACATAATTGATCTAGCAAGTCAACCATGATGGGAATCTCAATTGTCTTGTTGACGACTTTTTATGTAATGTGTTCTTTGCATATTTAACTAAAGAATTAATTTTGCTATAAAGGTCAATTCACCACTGTAGGATTCGGCCATTAAAGTCATCGGCAATGAGGATATACCGACATCGACAAGGGCTGCAGATTTCATTGTAAAGGTAACGGGAACCTTTTTGATGCTGAACAGTTATAGCTGTTTAAGCTCAAAAGTCTGGCTACCATCAGGCTTGAGCTGCCAATATGCCGAACACATTCGATAAACTGTCTTCCTTGACATCTTAGCTAATCTACTATCATGTGACATTAAATTCTGACAACTAAAATTCTCCGGCCAGCACATTTTCAAATCTAAACATAGTGCAGATAGTCTTAGACAAAATCGAATTGTAGTACGAATTACAAATTAGGCAATTGTGGCTCGAGTTTTAGTACCAAATTTGATTATTGTGGCTCAAGGCCAATATGTTCCAATGAGAATCCTCTATTTCGAGTGATGTAACCGTAAATAATTGATATCTATCGCAAATTGCATTTGCAACTTACAGTAACAATCCGCACAGGAGAGTGCGTTGATAATTATGAAATTTGACTACCTTTAGGGAAATGTCCTACTCGATCATTGATTATACAATATTTATTGGTATTTCATGTTCAGTTATATTACATTCTTATGATACCAAATAACCTCGCTATATCTGCCTCCCCACAATGATTAATACAAAATCGACTATGTGTGTATAAGATGTAATAAGTGTGGGGAATTACTTTTAGCACATCCAATGTTACATGTCAGCGAACTGATAAATTAGTATAGTAATGGTTATTGTCAAAAACTTGGTGACTAATTGCATCTGAGTTTGAGTTTTGAAAGTACTGGACAAACCACTACTAGTAAATGAAGTACCAGAAGTACTAGAAGTAGTAGTATTAGTTCCATTAGTACTAGGAGAATTTGGTGGAGGTGTTGGCTTTGACGTAGGACTTGACGTAGGACTTGACGTAGAACTTGACGTAGAACTTGACGTAGAACTTGACGTAGAACTTGACGTAGAACTTGACGTAGAACTTGACGTAGAACTTGACGTAGAAGTTGACGTAGAAGTTGACGTAGAAGTTGACGTAGAAACTAATGGAGGACAACATCCATTGCCATCTGGACACGGGGCATAGGTTGGATCGCTGCAGCAACATCCATTGCCATCTGGACATGGAACTTCGGTACTGCTATTGCAAGTAGGGGAAGTAGGAGGAGGACAACATCCATTGCCATCTGGACACGGAGCATAGGTTGGATCGCTGCAGCAACATCCATTGCCATCTGGACATGGAACTTCGGTACTGCTATTGCAAGTAGGGGAAGTAGGAGGAGGACAACATCCATTGCCATCTGGACACGGAGCATAGGTTGGATCGCTGCAGCAACATCCATTGCCATCTGGACATGGAACTTCGGTACTGCTATTGCAAGTAGGGGAAGTAGGAGGAGGACAACATCCATTGCCATCTGGACACGGAGCATAGGTTGGATCGCTGCAGCAACATCCATTGCCATCTGGACATGGAACTTCGTTTGGATTGCTGCAGCTGCCGCCACCATTAGGAGCACAATAAAGATCAGGTGTACAAACTTGGTCAGGGAAACAGCAACCATCACCACAAGGGTTATTTTTAATATCTTGAGCAGTGCATGGAATGTTGCAGCTTTGACTGTTAGGTATACATGTCGCACCTACAGGGCAACATCCATTGCTATTTGTACATGGAACATATGTTGGATCGGCGCAGGCACTAGTGTTTGCCAATAGAGAAAATCCCTTATATTTTCCGTCAACGTTCGGAAAGTTCGTGACGGCATCTCTACTTGATAGCTGAGATGTTGCAGAAGCAAAAGTTACGGTAATAAATGCGAATATTAGCGCGAGACTCTTCATGTTAAAAGTTCTAGACTTGATACGAAATAATCGTGTCGGACGCATTATTTAAACATTTAGATCCCGCACACCATTCAATCGATATATGCAGCGTTGTACGCCTTTTGTGATTACGCCTAAATTGAATTCACCTTTTCTGGCGCCATATATATTGAAACACAAAAGGTCTTTGTGTCATAATTTAAACTTAATATTATGATGAACCATAAAACTTAAGTGGACTAGTCAACTTGATAAAATTATAATAGACAACTTATTACTAACGGATACGAATAAAACGATCGAGTTGTATCGATCGCCTAATGCTAATTGATCATCCGTATATCTGCGTTCTTTAGTAGTTATATGAACGAACACACAAGAAAATAGCTTGTTTATAGTCAAAAACGTTTTATTACAATACGGCGTCTTTAATTTGTGTCAACAAACAATATCATTAATGCCGAGATATTTGATTCAGCAGAGATTTGAATGTGATCACAAGACTTTGTCTGTCAAATAATATGTGGGGTAATTAATTGTGTCGTCTATCTGTGAAGAAATATTCCGCAAATAAATGCATACAATTACTTCACTTTGTTCAATTGATGAACAGTTAAAGCAAAACAAAAAACGAGAAAAAAAATAATAACTACGTTGGCGAGGAAGAATAAAACAATCTGTGCTACCATGCACTACGATAGATTATCAATGTTCGTTGTATGAATTTTACTATTTTTGTATTGTTTAATACTCGTTTTAACGTTAAACAGAGTTAAAATAATTTCCGTGACAAAAGACTGGATGTTATAGCCCCCACGAACCAATAAAAAGGATTTATTAAGACAGTTTTACAAAATAAAGACTTGTATAGTGATATAGTTCGACGGGAAAAGCATCTGATCAAGTTTTCCTAAAATTTTCAATGTTTATATCGTGCATTACTAAATTTTGGCGTAAAAAATCCTCATGTCGAATGCGAATGGCTATAACCCATTGCTCGTTAAAAAGCACTACTAATTCAAACATTATAAGAGCACTAGAAGACTGCTACCTTTCATGAATAACGATAATTGTCTTACGCTAAAAACAATTATAAAGAAGAATAATCTATAAAATTATTACGATTTTCAGAAAAATATTATTTGGAATACTCTTCATCAAGTGGGAATTTGGATCGAATGATCAATAAATTATCGGAATGGCTTGTTACGTAATCAGGAATGTTTGGTTTTCTTACATACTATAGATTTTACTGTTTTTGGGGTTATAAGAAGAGAACTAAATTCTCACAAAAAGTAGAGATAACATCTCACAGTAAATGGTTCAGAGCTATATAGTCGCCACGGGCAAAAAAGAAAAGAGGATTTTATTAAATTACATTACGAAAATAAAAGAAGTTATACGTACTGTACGTCGTTCAGCAGTTGGTTTGGATAGAATGGATTGACCTTATACATAGAATTGCAGGTATACTCCCGTCTCAAAAGTCATCGACCACCCTAATAGACTACCCCCTACATTTGCAATTAAATGAGAATATTGGCATAGCGAGCAATGCAATCACACCGTGAAATTAATACTGAATTTAGCGTACCTTATAGGTAATATACAGTATGTCTCAACCCCCCCCCCCCAGAATATTTTCCGTAATATTCAATCCACCAATTTTAGCAATGTACAGTAAAATGTAAAATAATGGGAGTTTTATTTTGAACCACTTGTTTATAGGTATTTTTCCTTAATACTATTTCTATATATAATACGTGTAGTACACTCCCGTGGCAAAAGTCACCGACCACGGGGGTTGCATTTAGTATTAGGGGAGGATCGCACTTATTATTATGGGGGTTGTCTTTTACAGTACGTGGAAGCACATCGTATAATTCGAACCTTTGAATAAAACTCGTATAACTGTAAATAAGCCCGTTGAATTACAAG